CTTGTTCCGGTCAGACTGCAAATGATCGTCTGGGACGATGGCCTTTGTACCCTAATGGTATGTTTCACTTTGCAGGTGCAGTATACAAGGACAACTGGACAAGGAGTGACCTAGATCTTTTTGCCACTTGATTAGTCAGATTTTAGGTCAATAGATTAAAATAGAAAGTCAGGTTCTTTCTGTTCCATTGAAGGACTTTCCACCGTATCTTGTGGATTATGACAAGAAGATCAAAAGCAGTCGAGTTTGCATTTAGGAATCAAACTTCGTCATTGCAACTTCAATAGTATTTAGCCAGCGATATATGGATTCCACTGTTTACACTTTTTGAGTGAACTTTACTCATGTATTTTACTCAACCTTGATTTTTTTATTTTTATTTTTTAATTATAAGATTTAGAGGATCAAACTTAAATCAAAGTGGGAATTGGAGAAAAATGGTGTTAAGTGCATTTCGAAAACTTTGTTTGAAATTAATAATGTATCTTTTAAGAAGCTGTAATTTTCAATGAAAATTTGTAAACCTATAGAAAATTCATGGAATTTTAAGAAAGAAGTAAATAAACAAATAAATCATCAGAAAAATAGTGAACAATTTGTGATTAAAAAAGCATCAGAAAAATATAAAAAAACATTGAAGTTTGCAACTAACTTAGGAAAAACTTAAAATGTAAATAAATAATAAACAACGAATCTTGTTTCCTATTGGTATGTATGTAGGATCGTTAAAAATCTCCACTCTCAATTTCATTAAATTGTGCTAAAAAAAAAATAAATAAATAAATAAAAGAGTGCAGATTTCAGACTTCTACTACTGGCATTCATGTTTGCAGAAACTGTTGTGTAGACTAGTTCTTGGGTTGTTACTCCTTATTGTCTAATGTGAACATTATTAAGAATCCTACATAATTGAATAGGAGACCAATAGAATAATGAAAATATGATCGTGTATAATGAGAAGGATATTGAAGATGATAATGAGGTCAATGTAGTACAAATATCTGCAGAGTACAATTGTATTATGTCGAAAATCTTCTTGATATATTATTGGGTAACCCAGGATTTTATTGGATCTCCATTGGAAGAACACTTTTGCTAATCAAATTTCAACTTATCCTACATAGTACTATAGATTTATTAAAATTGTAACTAGATGAAATGGTAAACAATAGAACTCTATTCAGTAAATCTTTAGTTCAAGGCCACATATACACTAATGAATGGGGCTAAATAATAAACTCCCAAGATTGTCCCTAACAAAATGACACACTTGAGAGAGACAAACAGACAAACACCCCCTATTAAAAGTTAAGAATGATATGCTTTGAAGCAATATATGGTTTGTCTCTTGTAATTACCTGAGTTCACATGTTTCTTTAACAAATAAGGTACTTCTTACTTTCCACCACACAACTCATTAAATATGACCCACAAATCATGCGTTGAACAGCTTGATTGTTACATTTAGTGCATGGCAACTCATAATCTATATGTTTCTCTCTCTCCCTCATTCATTGTGTATATAATAAGTAAATAAATATGCGTGTGTATGTGTGTATTTGTATGCTTGTATATATAAGATCATGAAGTAAAATCTTGGATCTACAAAGATATCCTACAATGATACATACAGCATCAAGAAAATGTAATATTTAAGACACAGCTGTTTTAATATTGTGGAAATCTTTCTATCTCCAATTAAGATGTATGGTTGCAACTTACAAGGTCAAGAATAATTTTTTTTTTAGAACTGATCCCATATAATTGCATTATAAGTGTTTGGAATCTAAATGGATTAAATTTGTTACATCTCATATTTCATTATTTATTACAATTTTTTCTCATTCAAGAATATCTTTTTACAGACAATCCTCATGTATTTGTTGTCATATGTTTCATTTTTTAGCATAATATTTTCCCATTCAAGAATATCCTTTTACAAACAATTAATCCCCCTATTCTTGCTATAAGATTTTGGAATACAAATAGCTTAAATTTTTGAATTATATAATTCCTTATTATTTGATTCTTGATATATGTATTTAAATTTCTAAAGTAAATAACCTTCCAAATTAATGGTCACTCAATCCTCTTCATTCGCAAATTCCAACATTCCTACTCCTCTTAACTAGTAAAAACGTATGTAGTTTTTTATTTTATTTTTACTTTTTTATCTAAAAGATGATAAATTAAACTATGAATTGAATAGTAAACCTAGTGGTGCATGAGAGAATAATTAATCATTTTCTTCTTTGAAACATTGTTATATTTAAATATTATATTTTGGATGGAGAAATAAAAAGTAAAGGAAGAAGAGCAAACGTGTTGTAGAGGCGCGTTGGACAAGATACCTTTTGAATTATTGGATATTAAATCAGTTAAAATCATAGATAATCACTTTCCAGTCATTATTATTATTATTTTTTTTTTCCCAACTCGACGACTAAGGCAAGAATATAATATAGGGATTTATATTGATTATAAACGAATTAGAACGATATTGTTTTAAAATCCAAGTATATATTTATAGAGATAGAATGAATCAAATAAATCTACATATAATCTAATCCAGCGATGCAATAATTACTCAATGCAAAGTGTCAACAGCTTAAAAGGATATCAGAAGATCTCTCCGATTCCTTAGCAGTTTTTCGCATCAGAGATATCAAGAATCAAAATTTGTTTTTAGGAAGCAAATTGTTCTTCATTTCTTGAGTCAAATCATACAGGCAAAAGGGATGGGAAGTAATTACTTCGGTGAGCCGAACCTTGGAAATGAAAGAGGATCATCTTCATCTAGAAAAGGCAAAAAAAGCAATTCAGACAAGCCTAAACAACCTCAAAGAGGGCTTGGTGTTGCTCAGCTTGAAAAGATTAGATTGCACAGTCAAATGGGCTGCACCTACCTTCCTTCTTCTGTTCATACCCCTTATGCCCCAAATTTTAGCCAGGTATGCAGTAATTTTTCGTTTTGTTAGAATTCTCCAATGAAACGATCAAAGCATAAATCTGAAATCAATCATATTTATTGATCATTTGTGAGTTTTTTCTAATTTTTTCCAGTTTTATTGTGTGTTGACATTACTGCAGGAGGATACGAGACTTCCAACAGGCTATTCGTCTTCATCTTCGTCCCTCCCATATTCAACATCAGTAATATCTTCCCCTTATGGATTTTCGGGCTCCCATAACTTCACGGTATGTGGAACTTCAAACAGAAATACTTTCTTACACAATCTTATTACTAATTGCTTGTGATAATTACAATTAGGTTTGTAAATATAATTCTAATAGAGGGTACTTAATTATTGTTCTATGTCGTACTTAATTTGCTATGATCGTCTCTTCCTCATTTTTCCTTCAAAATTTGAGATTTCAGTTTATATAAAAATCTGATCCCGCATAATTAGGGAATGATTATAAACCCTAGATAAGAGTGGAAATCTTATCCTTGATGATCTCAAGATAGGGGTATACTATTTTCTGATTCTTTTCTTTTCTTTTCCTTTTATGTTCTCAGTGCCCCTTAACTTGGAAATTTGGAAGACCTGTGCTGCTGTTCATTTTGTTCTAACAAATTAATGTGGCAAAAGCATTACCTTGTCAAAATTGAAAATTGGGATAAATTTATAGCAATTATGAAATAACATAAACATTGCTATGTTTGCGCTTATTCATTCACTATATTTTGATGAACGACTTGTGAACATGTCTGTGTTCATTATAGATGGGATTGCCAGATTCAGAAAGGGCAAAAATTAGATATGAAGATTCCCAACCGAGCAGTGCGGCAAGGTATGTACTTTTTGCAAGATTTCATGTATGAAACATTCATTTCTGTTCTAATTTGGAAACTTAAAAATTTTCATCTCAATTTGGGATTCAAATCAGATCGCATCCTGGCATTGCAATGTCAGGTACCCAACATTTTTCGCAGCCCAGCACCACAAAGCACTTCTTCAACCCAGAGGTACTTTACAACATTTTCGGGATTGAAAAACACTCAATTTATAGCATTTCCTGGCTTTGGCAGAACATAATCATGAAAATGCTCACGTCCTAATAATGACAATTTTCATTGCCATTTGTTTTGCAGGAATCGCTGAATAGGAAGAAAGGCAGGAGTGATTCAATGGGCTCAAGTAGTCAGAATTCTGAAACAAGTGACTCCCAAGATATAGATTTGGAGCTCAGATTATAAATCTAAAACGACGAATTATGAAACCTGAGTCAACTTACATGCAAGTTTAAGAATTTTGATGCACTTGTCTTGTAAATTCCACTGGAAAGATTGGCACTGCAGTGGAAGTTATTTTGATAATATTCTGCTGATAAAATTAAATTTTATCAGGTACATTCTACGGCTTCTCTATTGCAGGATGACTATGTGAGTATTCTCAATTCCGTTCCTGTTACATATGCATTCAAGAACGAGCTTGGATCAATTATTTAAGCATAATTGGATTTTACGTGTTTTCATCATCTTACCATCATTTTTCAGAATTGTATGAACTTTATTAGAGAAGCCCATAAAGGTCATAGCTGGATTACACAGGTAATATTTGGATTAGTTATATAAGCATTGGAAAATTTTTATAAAATAATACAGAATACCATAAGCCTCAAATAGCCGTGCCAAAGGTGTATACACAAAGCCTCAAATACATTCTGTACGAGATAAGTTACTATGGAATTGCTTGTTTATTTCTCCAATGATCATCGACAAGTCTTAGTGAAGGACAATCAAGCTTTCCTTGATCTTTTTAAATATGTTTTAGACTCTGTGTCAAAAATATTCTATGACGACTTTAAGTTATCGTTGAAACCTTAAATCTTTGTAGGATTGCTATCATCATAATGCCAATCAAGCTTTCCTTGATCTTTTTAAATATGTTTTAGACTCTGTGTGAAAAATATTCTATGACGACTTTAAGTTATCTTTGAAACCTTAAACTTTTGTAGGATTGCTATCATCATAATGCCACGTGATAATTGTTGTGGTAATCTTACATCAACACCCTAGTCGAATGGACCGTGTCAAACCACAAAGGTCCATGCATCATAAGATAGAAAGATTCCTCATATATAACTATACATTCACATGCATACAATGCATAACTGTGATTCACAAGAAATAAAATGTTTGCTCACTATTGTTTTGTTAACTATGCAAAAGACTCGGACATCGAGAAAATCAACCAAAAAGTTACCGTTAAAATAAGTTAACTTGCTTATTTCTATTTTTTTCAATTTAAAATTTATTTATTTTAAAAATTATTTTTAACTTGTAACTGTTTCTTGAAGGAAAACTTTTACGCTTAGAGAAAACATGCTGTTGTTCAATGTCATAATAAAGTACAAATATATTATATTATAATAGCTAGGTACAAGTAAAAGATGGAAGCAAGAGATTATGTTGATTACAATTGATTCAATATTCTTTTAAATATTGATTCGATTCAAACTATAGTGAGATAAACAAAGTTTAAAATATGGCATAATATCTAAATAGATTGTGGGCACATGTAAAGACTACAATTTAAATATATATATATAT